CCCGGTAAAAATTGGGAGCCACATAACTGGATATTTTAAATTGTCAATTTATTTAGCTTTTAGATCCCTTTGGCTATAATACAAAATTGAAAATATAACTTTAGATCAAATGAGTTAAAAGCTAATGGCATCGGGCATAGGTTCTTTTTCCTAATGCTTTCGTAAATAGAATTATCGGTGAGAAAGATTTTTTTTTAAAAAAAAGTCAGATTGGTAGGATAAAAATAATTTTTAATAAATAACATCCAATAAGGCCTTAGAAAGTCTTAAAATCATTTTTTTTAAACTGCATGCTTGATATAATATTATAGCCGCAGATTGAAATATTTTTGAAGGACCCTGCTAATTTATCATCAGATAATGGCCTGAGTTCAGATGATTCTGTATCATGGTATTTAGGTAAATATTTAATTTGGGATTCACTGGCGTCTCTTCATTTCCATAATATATAAATTCTAAAACAAATTTTTTTTTCAGACTAATACAAAATTTTATCAAGGTGCGATAAAATTTAATACTAATTATATATTAATAATCATCAGCGAAATCCAGATTTCTATAAAAAATAAATATAATATTACATTATATGTTATTATAATTTATTATTATACAAGAGGAAATTCTTTAAAATAAGAAAAAACAAAAAAAAAGACGAGGGGGAAAAAGAAATAGGATTTGTTATTTTTTAAGAGGGAAAATACTAATCATCCGGAGAGATTGAATTATAAAACACGTAATTTGCATTAAGAATGGCCACTGATATCCCCTTAAAAACCATTTTGGAGCTCCCCGGAGTTTTTCCTGATTTAGGGGCCGATGTCTTTAAGAAAATTTTTAGCCAAATCCTTATTGTTAAAGTGGAGCATGGTACGAATATGTAATTAGATGAATTAGTGATTACCGCTTCCATTAGACACATGTTAAGGGGAACTCTAATTTTTTTAAATATAGGAGGCAAAAATAGAGCCCTAACCTCAACAGAAAATAAGGAATTTTATTATTTAAAACAAAAAATTCAAATTACTATTTTAAAATATGATTTAGTTTTTTGATAACTTTTAGTCCCAATTCCGTTTTTATATTTTTTTAAATTGTGAAATTGAAAAATGATAATATTTTGATTGTCACCATTTTTTTTTCTTGTTAAAAAAATCTGATATATCCTTTTTGACTACTTAGATTGCATGAATGTTGTAAAGCAAGGAAGATGTTACATAAAAAATATTAAAACACTTTTTGATTTAAAATAAGAAATGAAGTGTGTACTAGGCCTATTTAAAAAAGAATGCGAATAAAAAATTATACTCGTACCAGTCAAATAAGAATAGTAAATAATTCAATTTTTTAAAACTAATCAACTACTTATTTATGCCATACACATGAAATTAAATGCAATTCATGTCATTGATGTAAATACCCCTTAAAATAAATTGTAGGGAAGTTAACCTAATGCCAACAAGTCATGGTCCTACATCCATCTTGATTTCGCCGGGCTAATGCATGGACAATTATTGATTCTGTAAATGATCAGATGGTGTATAAAATAAATACTGAATGTATAAAATAAGTAAGATCTCAAATTTTCGTGACCTTTATCCCAGAAAACTTTCTTTAGTGATTGACAATATATCGAGAATAAATATTTATAAGATTTGGCAATAATAGGCTAATAAAACATGTGTGGCCATATCATTCACATTCTAGTGGGAAGATTTGCTCACTAAGTAGCTTATAATAAAAAAAATGAGCATAAAAATTGTATGTACATTCTATGAGATAAGAAATCCTTGGGGGTCGAGCAAACGCTGGGATTTTTTTCTAGAGTATTAAGCTCCGACAATTATTTATTCTTTTACCAAAGATTATATTAGGTATATTACATAGCATTATTGGATAACAATACATAAAAATTTTATAACAATGATTAATTTTTCAAATTCTGTCATTTTTCAAAAATAAAGAAATAAAATAAGAGAAAAATAAATTTTATAAATTGATAGCTAAAATAAAATTTTATGCAAAAATATTAATAATCAATAATAATGTGATTTAGGTTTCATGATTATTAAACAATAAACACAAGATGTAGGAAAAATAGATCGTATTTATGAATGACATAGTAGCAGGTCAATTAAATCATTAAAATTATAAGCAAAATAAAAAATATTATCTAAAAATAATTATAATTTAGAATAAAATTTTTCTATTCTCTATTAAGTGGGCCGGGAATCTCTATTTTTTGCCTGCCCCGGTTAGCATGACGTTAACAAAAATTTTGCAACTTCCATAAATTTTGTACGAGTGATATCATAAGATACAGATATGCTATTATATATAATTCTTTATTGAGGTAATAAATATCCAAAGGTTTACTCTTTTTCCTGATCACAATGCTATATCGCATGCCTCCTTCATATGAATGATATTGTTTGTTTAATTACTACAATGATACCATGGTCAGCGTAAATGAATATAAACAAAGGGAAAAATCTGTAAATCAAACCTTTATGATATGACTACCATATTGGAGAGTACTTCATATAGACTCTTCTTAGCAACAAATGCGTTATGCAAATACGTGGCAGAGGATTATTAGGAAAATTTATTCCCTGATTTCCGTAGCATGGATTATGCAGAAGGTCAAATTTACAAACACATATATCTTAAAAAGTAATAAGCCCAATAAGTCTTTTGTATATTTATCAGAGGCCTGCAGGCCCGGGCCGTATTTTTAATTTTTTAAATATACCCGGGCCGGGCCTAAAAAAATTTTTTTAACCGGGCCGGGCCTAAAAAATTTTTTTTTAAATATATCCGGGCCGGGCCTTAATATTTTTTATAAAAATTTTTACATTGTGAGTTAATGGGTATAAGATTATATTATATTATAGTTATGATTAATATAATATTGGGTGATGGTTAACACTACCTAACACCCACAGATCGATTTAATTATTAATTTCCTGCAAATTTATTCAAAGTATTAATATATTTTTTTATAATTCATATCTAAATTTTTACAACATATACCAAAACAATCAAAGAAATGAATATCTTAAATAAGCCCCAATATTCAAGTATTATTAATATATTTTTTTATAATTCATATCTAAATTTTTAGAATATATTTTACCAAAACAATCAAATAAAGGAATATCACTTCTTGTAGTTTGTAATACCTTTCAAAGCGAAAAAGGAGAAATAAAATTGATTTTACTTAATATAAAGCATTTTTTAATTGAAAAATTTGTTTTACACAAGTATCATTTTATTTCTCTTTTTCTCTGTCCCAAATTCAAGCAATTACGTATGTTGTCAGGGACAGATCGCAAGATGACGGAAAACTATATAAAAGATAATATTAAATTACAAGAGGCTCAGGAAGTAAATGAAATACTATCGACCAGTCAAATTACGACTGTTGTTAAACAAACTGAATCGTTTTATTACAAATGAGGCGATGGTAATTCTGGTAATATGTCAATACCCGATGATGAGTATTATAATTACATAAATAAAAAAATAGATGTAACATTTAAGGTGGATAATTTGTTAGAGTGGTGGGCGGCTCATCAAAGCGAATTTTTTGCAATATAAAATATAGTATATGCTCAAAATATCCATTTTTATAAATAACAGTTTTATAATTTTTATAAATTCAATATAATATTCTCAAAATATTAGCTTTTTACATGTATTTTTTAAATAATAAGCGATAATACTCGCTGAAAAATATGGTAAAATACCTCATAGGTGAATTTTTGTATATACCAGGTCGAATATAATTTTAAAAAATTCCGAGCCGGGCCTGAAATTTTTTTTTTAAAAATATCCGGGCCGGGCCGTAAAAAAATTTTTTAAAAAATATACGGGCCGGGTCTTAAATTTTTGAATCCGGTCCGGGCCGGGCCGTAAAAATTTTTTTTAAAAAATATCCGGGCCTGGCCGGGCCTAAAAAATTTAAAACCGGGCCGGGCAAATGGTGCCTCTGCAGGTCTCTGATATTTATATATAAGCACAATATATGTTATAGTCCGATTTGTCATAGTCGATGTCAAAATTATGAAGACCAATCTAATAATCATCGATGATCTTCATTGTTAATGTGGTATTATTAAAAATTCATGAATTCCTAATGAATGATATCCAATTTTCAAAGATAAAAGGTAATATTGTAAGGTCAAGCCAAAGGGAATTTATTAATTAACGCTTAAAAACATTTGATAATTTATTTTAGGTTCATTACTAGTGTAGATTATTTTATTTAAACTTTAATTAAAAAAATCAATTAGCGTCCTAACCCTAATCAACCTTAAAAAATAAATAATTGTTTATTCAAAGATGACAAAAACTAAAAAAATATATTATTTAAAAAGGGAATATTTTGTTTAAAAAAGCAGCTTATTTTATAAATTAAACGAATCTGTTTTCATATCAAAACAAACCAAAGGTTTCGATTCAGACTTGGGCGATTTAACGAACCACATGATCTAATTCCTGAGTTTGAATTAGAATTAATATTTCGAAAAATGTGTCTTTTACAATATGATAATTCATGAAGTTTGTTTATTTATTTATATTTTATTTACTATAAAACATCCAAATTATCATGTAAAAATCGAATAAATAGGAATCTAAAAGCATCCAAAATGAAGCCATAATAAGCATAATTAAAATAACGAGTGAGTTATAAAATATTGGTAGATTATATTTCCCATAGAAATTGTAGTGGTAATAAAAAACGTTCATTTTTAATCCCCAAAAACAACCATAGATAAAGGTCTAGCAATCGATCATATAACAGAATCTCTAATCAAATTTATACTATAAATGCCAAAATCAACTAAATAAATGTTAGCAAAATATATTTGGTTTTTTGACATTTTAATTTCTAAATATAAAAAAATATTAATAGATTTTATTATATATCACATTTTTATATAAAATGTATGTATTATACAAAACTAAATATAGAATATATCTTTATAAAAATTTTACCTAAGAAATAATATATTTTTAGGGTATATTGTTTAAAGCTGTATTTACAATGTAATGATAGATATCATATTGTGCCGTTTTATAAAAAGCTATTTGGCAATGGATCAGAGGTATCGTTTTCGGAACGCTCTGATTCTTTGCCAAGAGAGGAGAAACCAGTTCGTTATCCAACACCGAGGAGATAGATTCGAAAATTTCTGGATCCTTCAAACAATCGATGGGCTCTACTCCTTGAAAAAATTTCAGCTTATTTTTTTAAAACAATAAATAAATTATTAAAGATTTTATGTATATGGGGGTGATATGAAGAATAATGATTAAAATTAATTTATACTGCTTCATCCTTCCACAGAACAGCGTTAAAGCTATTACCAATTTTGTCAGCCAATCCCAATTTTAAAGCGTAAACATACTCTAGTTGATTCCCTAATTTGAAATTCGATAATTCTTTATAAATATAGAGCAAAATTAATTATTGCAAAAAATGATTATATAAATAAGAGACCTGCAAGCCCGGCCCTAAGCCCCGGTATACGGTCCGGGTCTAAAGTTTTTAAAAAAAATACCCGGCCAGGGCCGTATATTTTAAAACCAAATTTTTTAAATCGTCATTATTAGCTATAAAAAAATTAAAAATAAATATAATATATTTTTAAAAAATCGTGGCCGGATCTGAAAATATAAAACCAGGGCAGGGCCAAAATTTTTTTTTTACAAAAATCCGGACCGGGCACTGCAAATGGTACCCTGCAGGTCTCTGATATAAATAAGGCAACCTCAAAAATTATAAATTATTATTGAAAAAATATTTTATGTATTATAGACCATCTCGCTTACCTTATGTAATTTCTATTTCCTTCTAATTAATTGAAAATATTTGTAAAGTAAAACTTTTATTTTGGTTCAATCTACAGATCGGGCAATTAAAATAACCAATTTTGTCCTTGTAGGTAAAAGGCATAGCCTTTTCTACCCAATTTAAATTATCGATGCCTTCCACATCACTAGGGTTTAGAGGGGCAGAGTAATATTCTGATAAATCGCCATCATCACTGTTCCAAATGAAAGAATAAAAAATTTTTATGTCAAAATTGTTTCAATTTTTTACAAATTGTTTAATTTAAATGTGTCATTGTTAGATGGAGATAAGAGCTAGCCCAGGATTACTCCTATCATGTTGGATTTAAAACGTTCAAAAAAATTAGCCAAAATTGTTGATTTTTCATGCACTTAATAATTCTCAACCCATGTTATGTGACTAAAACTGCTATCTCAAGATTTGGTTGGGCAGAGAGACTTGGCTCTATTGCAGCAAAATCTTGAGGCCTATTTGTTTGACTAAATATTTACTTAGTCACTTTTCAAAATATGGGCTAATGTTTAATAGTGGTTTTTAAATCACTAGTTGTATCGTAGCCTAATCAATATTCTTATACAATTTCTTAAATTTATAATTGGCCTTAATTTGATAATTAAGTTTTATGGTTATGAAATTTTTTTTACCAAATATAGATAATAACCCCCCCCCCTCCCCCATTTTCATACGAAGCGAAAACTGTAGAGAATATCAATCTTATCATTTAAATATGTTTATGCTAAAAGATAATATAAAACCTGGAAACTATGTCAACATCGCTTAAATCGTTATTATCTATCGAAATTAACAATGAGTTAGGCTTATTTTGGTAGTTATTAGTAACCTTAACATTTCTACATTTTTTCTTTCTTTTAAAACGAGATTTTGTTTTAGGAATAGAGGAATCGTTAGCTAGGGAATATAGGGTTGAGCTGTATTCACTGCAGTCTTGTGTTAAAAATTGTTATTTTTTTAAAAATGTGCATTTAAAAACAGATATATGTGTTTTAGAATAATAATAATTATTGCTATAAAGATTTTCTTTACCGGTTGATAAATCATCTTCCCAAACATACTTGGAGAGTTGTTCATTTTTAACAATTCTTGTTTTCTTTGCAGGATTAATTATGGTCCCAGCTTTTGGATGAAGAGTGTTAAGTGGACATCTTGATCTAGATTTTATTTTATTCATATAGACATTTCATAAAAATTCATTAATTAAGACCTTTTAAAAAAAACCATTAGCATTATTGGGAAGGGAAGCATATTTAATTTTATTTTAAAACTTTTTAACGCGTTTAACTGATATGAGTTAGCAACTAACGCCTTTGTTTTTTTTAACTTACAAATAATTGCATTCCGAACACCAAACTTGAATGAATGTTAAAACGTTGTCAGCTTTCGGTGTGTAGCCATGCACACAACAACAAACACTGTAAAGGGTTTTAAATTGTTTTTGAAGATTAGTCGATTGGATCACCCCTCGTTTCTTATCTTCTTCTATTTTACGATAATGATTAGTAATCAAACTGGAATGTTCGAGTATATATTTTATGCTCTTAAAATCATGTTTATAGATAGCGGAATCGTTAATATTTTGCGTATGATTTATATTGGCGTCAATAAGAGGTTTGGCTTGATATAAAATACCTAAAATAAAATAAAAATGAAAGTTTTCTATTTTTTTACAGTTCAAATATATTTTGTATTAATAAAATGTAAAATAATCTCAGTGACTTATTTTTATATTGAAGCTTGATTTGTTGATCATACAAAATATACATTTGCTTTGTTCCTATAATAAATAGCACAATGAGTTTACATTTAAAAATCTTCATAACTTCACTATCAACTCAACTTCAGGGCTTTTTTTTGAAAATATTGCTCACGCTTTGAAGAAAGCATAAATAAATTAACACGCGACTAAATGCTTAGCGAATTTCTTTGCCAACCTGCAAATTAGGCAGATAATAGCTAATTTTTTAGTTATAACCCGTCTATACTAACGAGTAATTAATAATATTGTTTAAAAATATATTTAAAAAAAGTAATTAACTCGTTAGAATACGGAATTGAATTTGCAGCGTTTTGTCTAATCTTAAAATTTTGGATATGAAATCACGACAACACAAATCTTTGGCAGTTTGACTCATTAAGATTTCGGAGGAAAGTGATAACGTATCTGAGTCATTCATTTTGTCAATTGGGCGGGAAGTATCAGCCTTTAATTTTTTAAGTAACAATTCGGGAAATGAAGATAACGGCGTATAATACTGACTAGGAGAAGCCTCTTTTCCCATACTTTCATGAATATTCGCTGCAATGTTATCTGAATTAGAGGACAAAAGTTCTTCTTCCACTTTGGTCAAACGCCTGTCATATAACATACAAGATTTATTTATATTTAAAAAACTTCAAAATTTGATAATCGAAATCTATATTTTGATATTATTGAGCTAAGGGTAGTTCTAAAGAGCTAACCAGTGGCACACAATAGTAATGATTTTAATTTAAAATTTTAGAGAGGCGACAATTTTTTTGTTTGAATTAAAATTTTGTATATATCATGCTATGTGCTCCTACATGAAGGAGCGGAGATAAAAGGGGGGAAGGTAACCCCCCTTCCCTCCAATATAAAATATGATATAATTCAAAGTCAATATATCTCAGACCATTCTAAATGAATGTATAAAAGTAAAGCATAAGACTCTATTAACTCATACGACACTTCTAACACAATCCTATGGAATAAATATAACATAAACCCTCAAAATATTAGAGTAGTGCCGATTCACAAAATTAACGATTCGATCTGATATCTCGACCGTACTTTATATTGATTTTATTCACTATCTTTGAACCAATCCCATAAAAAAATTATTTTCTGATAAAAAACATAATAATTAAAATATGGGCAATGTTTATAGCTGAATGTAGTGTTGCTAAACGGCTAGATTCAACCAATTTTTAAAACGGCTAAATTAAGGGCCAAAATAATTTTCACTAAACCTCTAAATTTCGCCAATAGGTATCAGAAACTTTTCTATCATTTGTGAGCGAAATCTTGAAACTTGCTGGCTAAAATTTTGAGTTAGTTGTTATTAATAATAGGCTAAATCAAAACGTATAGCAACACTAGTTGAATGTGATTCATTAAATGCATTTAACCCCTTTTCTTGTTGCAGATTATATATATAACAAAAATACCAAATTAAAAAATAATACCAAATTTTTAGCTTTTAAAATAATTTAATTTTTTTAAGGATTAAAAATAAATTGAATTATGGTTCCGTTTATTAATATATTATTATGAAAATAAAATAGGTTTGTCTGTTAGTTTGATATCCTTATCGTAAGTTGTCTTTATCAATCTTAATTTTGTCATGTCAGCTTGCTTGTGGTACTCGGTTGTTACTATCAATTTACAAAATTGTTACCATCATTAGTCAGTCATGAATAATTACGAATAATAATTGATCAAATTGGATATTAGGATAAGTGAATTATCGGAATAATATACGAATTTGCAATAATATATAAAATATGGAATAATGCATAGAATATGAATCAAATTGAATAATCGAATATTGGAATGATAAATCAATAAGATTATTATATAATATTTTTAGCGTTTAATATTTTTTTTGAGTTTTTAATGTCCAATATTTATTTTATATATTAAGTTATATAATCTTTTAAATAAGCAGGTTTTTGTTTAATTCGTGGATTAGAAATCGGTATTATATTATCTTTATTGGTTTTTTTATTTTTGTCCACACTTCCCTCCTTAAAAGAATTTTTAGAGTTAGAACCATAGTTTATAAATATGTTAAAACAATTTCTTATTCGTAATTAGTCTAAATGTCTCCTTTATACACCTTTATCTGTCTGCCATCAGAATCGTAGACAAGTTTTAATTAATTTGAACTTTAAGAAGCTGAGTTCTGCGGATGCCACGGTAATTGTAATAATTAAAATAATCCTTAACACAATGGATATTTAATAAAACTTTATTTAATCAATCTAGTGTATATAATCTCCGTAATCAAGAAATGAACGTTTTCGTATAATCTTAATGTTAATTTTATTTTTTCTATCAAATTTCCTATCATCTTAATGTTAATAAATCGAAGGAGACTTTAATGTTATATTTTTCTTTTAAAAAAAAGAAAAGTTTTTTTGAAAATTTTTTGTATACATCAACGAGATTCGATCCCAAGACTTAACATTCCATAGGCAAACGTTCTTTCCAACTCAGCCCCCTTCTATCTTAAATTTAAAATTGTTCTTATATATGAAACTATGTTTTGATAAAGTAATTTAATTATATCAATATTTTTTTTATTGGAAGCTCCAGGCTTGAGAAAAAATTTTAAAATTATTATCGGTTGGTCAGGTTTGAGAAAAATTTATTAAAATTATAATGGGTCGGGCTGGACTTGGAAAATATTTTTATAAATTATATTGGGCTGGGTTTGGAAGAAATATTTCAAACTATTATCAGCTTGAACGCTTGGAATTTTTTTATTATTAACTATAGATCAAACATTGACCTAAAACAAATTTTTTTTCTTACAGGCCTGTGCTCGGGCTGATCAAAAAACCAAGGCCCATTTTATTCCAGTTCTCAACTACCAAAATTATAAAGATCTTTGGTTGGAGTTGGGGAATTTTTTTATTATGGCCTTGGACCTTACAGATTTTTTTCAATATTAAATATTAGGCATAGGTGATCAGTAATATTTAACAAAGAATTGGGTATAAAGCAAAAGCTTTAAATATATTTTGACTCAAAACATAGGATTTACACTTATTTTTAATGGATTGGACCTGGCCTGAAGGGGGGGGGGGTTATAAAGAATAAAAATTGGATATTATTTTGAAATAACAGTAACTATCATAAGAGTAAAAAGAAAATTCTCATTCCTCGTTATTTTTGACGGGCTCAGCTATGCTGAAACTGGAGCTCTGGTACTCTTAGTTATATATTTTTCATTTTGCCCATCAAGAAAGGCAGATCATCATACTTTAAATTAAGAATATCTTATGAGGTGTGATTAACAAATCTACCTCTTTTTCTCCTAAATTTTAATATTTTTTATAAAATATCTAAATAAAATATATTTAGTATCATATACACATAATACTAATTATCCCTCAACTCCGTCATTCTTGACGGGTTAGTTATATTATATAGCGTAAAATTTCCAATGGAGTTTATTCAATTAATAGACTTGCAAATTAATATTGCATTCAACGTATTCTGATCTGTTATATATTTAATTGACAAGATTTTTTAGTTCGGTTTCAGCGCATTTATTCATTCTGATTGAACATCGATCCAAAATCAACTTTAAAGAGCTTTAACAGGAAATGATCCTCCAACAAATTTCGCGCTTGATCTAGTTATATATATTGAAAAATTTAATCTCAATTTTTTTTTGAAATGTATAGGCGGGCCATCACCTTCGTAAGAAAATTGTTTTTGACCTTCAATCTATGAATTAATGTAAATGAAGAAAGGCACTGCTCTTCTAAACTCATTTCCAATTCCTGCGCAGGCTCTTTCGCTGAGTGAAGGAAATTCTGAAGTTTTTCTTAAAGCGATCTAAAAAATTTTACGGAATGTCTATAAGTGTAATGATTCTTTCTAATTCAATATTGTCATTTTGCATAGCCTTACTTACTAAATTCACCTGGGTTAATATATAAAACCAGATGACAAGAGTTATCAAAAATGATATCACAATACGTTTGTCAGCGACGTTTCACAATGCATTTTAATGAATAAATCGCTAGCCCAGTATTATATGTCATTCTAGCTACATAACTTGCCTAATAAAATTAATAATATGTAATTAGAATAAATTATTTTTAATAGTTTAATAAAGTTTACGAAATAATTATTCATAATTAATTACTCCTAAACGGAAGAGTACAAAATTGGAGGATGAAAGGGCTATATTTAATATATTAGTTATATATTTTTAGTTAAGCAAAGGGCATCATGTGCTTAATTATTTTATTCTTGATTTTTGGAAGATATTATGAAAAATCTTCGGTTTAGGTTAAATAACTCGTAGAGGGGAGACGCCCCTAGAATTGCTAAAGATATCTTATAATCATAATATTTTAATATTAAAAAAAATAGTATTAGGTAGATAACTGGAATTATATATCTTAGTTTTATATCATTTTATTATATAAAAAAATTCTTCGGTTTCATTTTCAGTATGAACTCGTTCATTTTAATAAAATATAAAAAAATTCTTTAAATAATAGATTTTATATTAATGAAAAATAAATAAAATGAGATTTTTTAGTGGAATCATTTTTCAAGTATTTTGCCTCCAGTAGGTAAAATTTTATTATAACTGATAATTTCATATGTTATAAATAAGAATAGATTGTATTTTGTTTTTATACTTCTTAAATATATCTAGATACATATGTATCATCTAAAATGGATCTAGATACATCATCTAAAAATGAATATAAACACAAATAAAATATTTATCATACTTAAATACATGGTTTGCAGAGCACAAAATATGCAAGCAATATTTATATATTTTGTTCTCATTCAATTCGAACATTAATAATAAATCGTTCTTCGTAAAAATTCTTATGTAAAACGAGTATTTATTTTTTAAAAAATTTTTACATTATAAACTAATAATTTATTTATTAAAAAGGGGAATATCTATGAATTTATTTTGAAAAATTCTAAATAAATTTATTTACTTATAATTTTGTGCATCAATGGTATTGTTATTTTATAAAATGGGCGTCATATTCCTTTATATGATAAAATATCTTTCAATCTTGAACTGATATCTATTAATTTAAATGGGGGGGGGGGGGGATATTAAATGTTTGTTTTAATATTTTATATGTACATTTTCTTTATTATATTAGTCTTAATATTTTTATATATATTTATATAAATTATATGCTCATCTGAAATAAAATGAATTTCGCATTTTTAATATAAGAAAGCGTTGTAAATCAAAATGTATCTTATACCACATTTGTATCTAGATATAGTATAATAAGATATAACTGTTGTTTTTATATCTATTTTAGAAATGAAAACATTGGGACATAAAAATATATTCAAAAAATAAAATAAAATACAATTTTTTGAGATATTCAATTTAAAATATAAACAATTTGTTCGATTGAATAAAATATTAATAAAATATAAATAAAAAATTTTTTCTAGTATATTACGTGGAGTAGAATAAAAAATATACAAATGATTATTGTTATTTTATTAATATAGAGTCAATATTTTTTTCTATTTAAACCCGAACCTAAACCTGAATCATTTTTTTAAATTTTATCCCCAACCCTGGAATCTTTTTTTGTCGAAGGGTTCACATCCATGATTAGAAGTTTTGTTCTACCATATTTTTATACTGCGTTAAATTTGATATTATTTATTTCATGTTGTAGGAAGAGGGGCATAGAAAAAAGTTGGGACAAGTCCACCTTTGAGCATATATATTTACTGGCATTAAAATTTTTATACATGGTTGTGTTGTGGCTATCACTATCTCAATTAACTATACAATATTATAAAGAAATAAACTTTCCAATAATATTAAATATAACGTTTTATTAATATTGCCTTAGAATTACTTCCATTATATTTTAAATTCTAAATATTATATAATATAAAACATAATATATATATCTATTTTTACTGTAAAAATTCATCGTGGTCAAATGCATAAACCCCTCTGCCAAAATTTTTACCACCCCCGTGAAGAATTAATTCGACTTTTGGGAGTTCGACTTCAGTACTTTGGTTAATGGAGAAGGGTATAGGTGACACGTGAAAATTTGCTATTTTAACTATATCCCTAAGCTAATAAATAAAATCATCATTATGATATAAAATAAAGGAGCAGATATAATATTTAACATATAGAGATAAAACATAATTACATTGTTTTGCCAATAATCAATATAAACCAACCCAATATTATCTTTCTTTTATTGTCTGCATTTAATCTTAACTTAATATTACAAACTTTATTTTTAGTAATTAAAATACATTACTATATTTTTTTAAAATTATTTCTATGGATCATTTAGCATTGTTTCCAGAGTTGGGCAGTACCGCGAATACTTGTATCTAAGATACAAGATCCTTTTGTATCTTGTACTCAGTATCTTATTGATATTTTTAATAAGATACTAGTATCTGTATCTAAGATCCTTTAATTTGAAAAGAATCTTGTATCATTTTCATTTTCTTTAAAAAGATACAGATACAGATTTTTTTTAATATTCATGTTTAGAACATTTACATATCACACAATGTAACTTTATTTTCTGTGAAATCTTGTATTATTTTTTTTATTTTTTGGTATATTTTAAATATATTGATAACCAAAATTAGTTGGAAATTTTACAGATCACAAAGATAGATATTTTAAAAATAACAACACCAAAAATAAGAAAAGGATATATTTTATATGAAATATTTTTTAATTTGTAGAATGTTTAACATATATTATAGTGAAGATGAAATTATAGATAGGTTCTCCTGAATCAAATCCGAATCTTAAAATTCTAGATGGAAAATTTTATAAAGTAATTCATGTGAAAAAGGACAAGGTACAAGCCGAATGTCAAAATTGCACAAGTAAAAAAGTTATTAAAGGTTGAACAAACTCCTCTACAAACTTTGTTAAACATATTAAAGTATAGTTTACATTTTTATTTTATAATTATTAACATAATAATACCTATACATAAGTCCCTCTTAGATAATTGTTATTAAAAATTTTTATAGAAGATGGATGGTTGACAATTAAAATCATTTTGGATATCTACCGATACCACTTTTTAGAGGTCGATCCGATCCGATATACAATTGATATCGGCCGATTACCGATCCGATATCATATCTAATTTTGTATTCTGTAAAGATACCAATGGTTTTAATTTTTAATATACTTTTTATTAGTATAACATCTATAATTTAACTATACCATAACTTATGTCATTTAAATATATTATAATGATCAGTTATAGTTTATATTCAATTCAATTGCAATTCTAAAAGTATATAAAATATTTTTATTGTTAAATCACTTTTATATAACAAGTAATAACATTAATCTATATACATATTAATTATTAACAATTATATTATGAAATTTGAAATAAATATTTAAAATAATATTTAACATTAATATAGCGAAGATTTCTTTTTAATAATAGTAATACCAATATTTCCAATTTATCAGAGGTCAGCTTGCGGCGATACTGTCAATATCACCAGCTTCACTAAAAACAGATTTTGAGATTATCGCACACTTTTATAAACAGAAAGCGCAAAAAAATAACAATATGGTAGAATGTTTATTAATTAAATATTATTATTAAAAAAATATACATAAAAATGGATTTCGATTTTATTTATAAAAATAAATGATTTCAGATATAACTATTTTTTTAAATTTTATAACATTTTATTTTTGTTAAAGACGCCATTTATATATCGGATCAAATTTTATAATATTGACCGATAACCGGTATTTTAAAATGGGTGAAATATCGGCCCGATCCTATGAAAAATATCGGCACATCCCTAATATTTTATATTTAATTATTTTAGCAAGTTATTATTAGAGCAAATATTTAAGCTAAATTTAACTTTATTAGTTACTATTTATTTATGATATAAGTAAAATTACATTACAGTATTTATTTACAAAATTTAATCAATTTAAAATGCATTAAAGAAAATCGCTATGTAATTAACAATTAAATAATATAATGTTGTACATTATTTTCATATTTTTTTATATATAATTAATGATTTTGCAAGAAATATATAAAAAAAATTTGAAAAGAGATTTAAATGATATTTATATATATATATGATATTACAAATGCAAGAATTAATAAGTCAAATTATAAAATATATCTAATTTAAAAAAATACATAAATATCACAAACAAGTAATGATAAATACTTATCAAAGATAATGAATAAAATAAAACTAGTATATTTTTTTTAGAGATGCCATTTAGCCATACACAATCTATATTTAAAACAACAGAAAATAACCTGCAAATTATAATTAACCATTTGATTTAATTTTTTTTCTTATTTGCACATTTTCAACTCCCATTAAATATACTACTCTCCCTTCCCTGTTTAAGCTATTAATGGACAAAAATTCATATTAAAATCCCTGGTTATTATAATTAATTCATCAATAAATATTTTACTAATTATTGCAAATATTCATTCTTATATGTGTATGCTATGTTCTTCACAAATAAATAATAAAAACTGTATTTTATAAACTATTTTAATTTAATTGGTAATGATAATTTAAAAGTATCTTGTATTTAAGATACTCTAATTTAGTAAAAGATACAAGTATCTTTTTGATATTTTGAAAAAGATACTAGTATCTGTATCTAAGATTCATTTTTTTATAAAGAATCTGTATCTAGATTCTTTTTCCAGAGGACCTGCCCAACTCTGATTGTTTCATAGAACCTCAAAATATAAGTTGGCCCAAAGTCCTAAATGCCATGGATTTGGGACTAATAAATTTAAATATCGGTTTGGGCCTAAAAAAATTATTTGTAATAAGGAACTAATGTCAGTGGCGTCGCTAGGGGGCGGCGCAGGGGCTCGAGCCCCCTGAAGTAAAAAATTTTTTTTTTAATGGCTCCTTAATATCTTCTTGAGCTAAAAATAAATTTTTAATTGCCTTCTGAATAATTTCTTTTATAATATTGAGTAATATATAGATTTAATTTTATTAAAAAATTAATAAGACTATCTTAATTTTTATTAAATGAATACTATTTTAATTATTAGATTAGATTATTACATATCAATTATACTATGTCAGCTTGCAATCAAATTATGTTTTAAAAATATAACAATATCACTCACTAAATATTAATTTAGCTTTAACAGTTGAAGCTTATTTGACTTTTATTATTTAAATTATTATATAACCCTAATAAATATAATCATTTATTAATTGAAAATTAATAATATTTTAGCCGAGGTCAAAATCACTAATCAACTATATTATTGAATTTTAAATTTAATTATCATGTCTCTTCCTAAAATTATTTTCAAGGTCCTAATCCAAATAAGTATAAGAAATTTATTTATAAAAAGTATGTAGACATATAGTATATAATCCTCTATTATATATAATTTTTTATAAAATATTAGGTAAATGCCACTTTTACAGACGTATCTGACAGTTATATAATATATTACAGTTAATATTTTTAAAATTTTAATAATAAATGCTTTTGATAATAAATATAATATAAGTAACAATTTGCTTACAAATATTTAACGCCATCTATTTATTTAAAATATAATGAAAGTTATACGTATAATTTTCATCCCACGTAAAAAATTAGATATCTTTTCTTTTCTTTTTTACGTGTTTTAAGGAAAGCTATATTTTTCTTCTTCGAAAAATAGATTTGAGTTAAATCTTTAATACAAATATATTTTTGATATTATTCCAAACTACCATTATTTTAAGATATAATATACCAACTAGAGATGGTGCGACAATAATATATAAAATCTTAATTGCTTTCATGATATCATTCTGGTTCTTATTATGTAGTTACAAAATGTTTCATTTCTAATATGGCATCCTTGCCGTGTAAATAACTCAAGGCTTCAATATATTTGCATAATTTCTTCTAAAGATTTTAATGTTTTTATTGTATCAATTTTTCTAACAGATTGTGGTTACCATCGTGAGTCTCATGGATAGGACTGCAAATTAACCAGCATCTATTATTTGTGTGGCTATGTAATTTAAGATTATTACTATAGCTGCTGAGAGTGAGAGCATATTTTAGATAAGCAATAGGTCAACTGTGTAGTCGTTTATATAACATTGAAAATGGAAGATAATCTTTTAGAAATTTAATATCATACAATAATTTTCTCGATTACTTATCTAGCTTCCATCATGTCATCTAAGAGGAAGCTCTAACCACCATATGGTTTTATGATTTTTGGTCGTTTATAATCTCTTCTTCAAGAATTGTAGATTTGGTAAGGTCTATAAATTTTTTATTATTAGTCCATTCTATAAAACATTGTCTAAAATTAGTTTCATGAACTTTCGTCAATGTAAGTTGCTAAGAATTATAATATATTATGAAGTTTTCACAAACTATTATCAATTGAGGCATATATGAATTAATTAAAATTTTTCATTTATTATTTCTTTAGACGCAAAATCATTTCACATCAACAATCGAAAATATTTTATACTGTAATAAATAGATTTTCTATTAAAAAATATTATTTTTATATGCTAGTTTATTTTGTATGCAAAATATAATACATGACATTCAGAATAATTATTTAGGATTAGTAAATTTTAAAAAAGTATACTATCTATATATATAATCCTCAAAAAATGTCAATCAAATTTAGCCAATAGTTTTCTTTTAAATATTATTTGTCCAATCAAAATGATTATAGCAGTAACAGTCATAGTCACAACTGTGACATTATATAGTCAATTATTTTACCTGATAATAGTCAATTACAGGGATTCGAACCGAACCCGGAGAAGTGAACCCGGGTTTTTAGAAAAAAACTCTGAACCCGAACCGAACCTGAACCCCATTTATAAAATTTTCAAAACCCCGAACCGAACCCAAGAATTTTATTTGAACCCGGGTTCAGTGTATTATTTAAAATCATATATTAATATATGTAAATACAAATATTATATTTTCAAATTTCCAATTAAATGAAGTGTTAATAAATTTTAAACAACTTAATTCATTTATGCCATTTTTTAATTTATTCTCGATTCCTATTGGAGTGTTAAAAAAT